TTATAAAATACCACAATGTTGCAACCTCCAGAGTAAGGTGAATATAACGCAACTCAAAACCCTAGCCCCCAGTGCCTTGTGTGTCTTTTAGTTGGAGAAAGGCTAAGGGATGTCGCCTTACCAGAAATACATTGTCACTGAGGCGTTTGCTGATCTATAGCAGAAGCTACAGCCATCAAGGCACTGAATGTCTGGACTTGATCTGGCCTCTAGATTCTGTCTCAGGGGGGATGGTAGGTCTTGGGCAGCCTCAACATCTCCCAATTCTTGCTAGGTCTACACATTGAAGGTCTTGGTGTGATGGTCACAGGACTCCATACAAGCGGATTCATCAGATACTTAACTAGATCTCTTGTATGTACATCATGATCCAGAGGATCGGTGGTTGCCTACTACTTATCACATTAAAGTTCTATGACACAGCGGGAGTACGAGTAATTGTCAAATCAACTTATGGAAAGAGTTCTTGCATGCAAGTTCTTTATCAAGCCAGACTGCAGAGCAATTTTCACAGCAGTCAGCTTGAATAATCACTTACACAAAGAAAACACAACTTAGAGAAGAACAAAATATTCTTTAACTGGAAACAGGTCACTGACAGACTGAACAAACAGTTTTGGAGAAAGTGTTCAATTACAGGTAATAAGAGAATTCTTGATACAACAGGCACAGAGTATTTTTTGAAGAAGGAACAGCCTTTAGGAGTTAAAAGTGGCACAAATACAGAGCTGCCAACAACCAGAATAACTGTAAATATGGAGACTTCCAAACCATGCAGGACCAAATAACTGGCATCTTACATCTGTAGATCTTATACTATTACTATTATGTCTAATAATAAAATATTAAACTTGTACACATAAGGGTCCCTCCCCAGGTAGTGGTACAGATAGCCTTAAATACTTTGGTGAAAGGGATGTACAAGTGTATGTAGAGATAAATGCTTCTGTGTGTTCCAAACGATTTGGTAAGATTTAAATGAATTAAAATTCATTCTTAAAGACACTGAAAATACACATTGCACACTCTAAAGTCTCTCTCTTACCATGCTATTCAGAATTGCACAAGAAAGGTAACTGTTAAGAGCTAATAACAGCACTTCCAATCTACTGTCCCATTTTCAAATACAAGTAAAAGCTTATTGTTTAGATGAAAGTTTTCATGCCTAAGTGCAGCATAAAAAAGGGCTGTTTTTTTAATTTATAGAAACCTACTGAGTTCTTAAGCAACCTGAATATCTACAAACCTTAGCTGTGCAAACTCTCAGTTCCAATGACATTTTCACTAGGAAATTAAATGTAAAAAATGCTCATCAGTTACAATACTTCAGGATTTTTCTGAAATAATGTTTACAGAGGACAACTAATTTTCTTCCTCTGTGCAACTGTCAAAGTTTTTTCTTATCTTCTTACACTACATAAACCAAAAATACATGAATACAAATTCTTTGTATTTTTAATTTTATGACATTTCAAGACAACAGTGCTTTTCTCTCTAGCATAGGGGACATTATCTTCCAAACAGAATAGCACTTTCCCCATAGTGATTACATTGATCACATGATTACTGACAAAACACCCACTAGCATAAAGACAACCTCTCTCAGCCACACAGATCAGCGTGGCTTTTGAAAGATCTGGAATGTAAAAGGATGAATGGAAAAACAGCCTGATAGACACTTAAGGAGTTTCATAACTAGTTTGCACATGCAAAGAATAACCATTTCTTTTCTAGATAACAGCAAAATCAAATCTAGAGGCAGCGTTCCAGAATGGAAATATAACCTTATAAACTCAGCTTACTGCATTCAACCCCAGAAGACAGCAAAGCTTGTAAAGGATCTTATTTTACAGAGAAATTATAGAAATTAGTATTTCCAGCTGTGATACTGAAACAACAGATCAAGCATATTGCTTTTAAGAGTTTCTCATTGTGGCAAAGAATAGCTGGAATTTAGACAGAGCAAACTGTATGATTATTGGGGGTCCTGGTTCTCTGTTTAAAAATACAAATTCTCTGATTAAAAAAAAAGGTCAGAAATTCTCCAATTAAAACCCCCAAAGCCATTTTTCTATATTGTATCTATATATTACCTGAGAGGCCTAAACAGGCGTCTTTGCCTGTTTGGGCCACCACCTCTCCCACTGTGTCTGGTGTGTCACCGTCCCACCCACGGGCGCCGAGAGACAGGCCCCGTGTAGGCTGCTTTGTCCCAGACCATGGGGGCTCGGCAAAACTGGAAGCGCCATGGTGGGCACTTCCGGTTTTGCTTTTACCTTACAAGCTGGCATACTGGTTAATAGAGCATGCTGGCTTGTAAGGTGCTGGATAACGCAGCTTTTACTGTATTTACAATTTTGAAGCAATTTGGAAACCTGCCAGCACCTCAATCATTATAATTAAATAAATTCTAAATACCTATATTTTGGTATTTGATTTGGGGTTTTTTTAACCATGGAAAAATCAGAGCTCCCCCTGCCCCCTTCACTCACCAGGATGTGGATCCAATTGCAGCTGTCATCTCCCTCCTCACTTTATGGTGCTGTGTAGCCCTGATACATCATTGTCCCTCACTCTCAACCCATTGCCTCTCCAGCCCTGCTGGTGCCCCTCAGTACCAACTGAGGGCACGGGTACACAGGTGGGGAAGCATAAGCAATGCATTGGGGGGGCCATGCTCCCCCAGATTTTTGTGCCCACAGTGGGATGTGGGCCTGCAGTCAGGTTAAACGAGGCACTGCCTCCACAGGCCAGTGAACAGGACTCGGTGTGGGAGGGAGTGCCATGCTGTCACGGTGTGGCACAGCAGTGGTGTGGGGTTGTGCCCCCCAATGCTGCCAAGTGGGCAGGGGATGCCTCACCTTGGCAACCATGGCAGTGCAGTGCTTCTTCCTGTGCTGAGTCCTGCCCACTGGGCCCTGGCACCTGCCCAGAGCTGGTCCAGCCTCACTGCAGCCCCGCTGTGGGAACTGAAAATATATGGGAGCACATACAACCCGTCCCATGCATGGCTTTTGCCCCTGCACTCCCAATACCTGACCTCTGCCCCCTCTAGGTTATGCAGTTTTCTATAAGTGGCATAGTTTAGATTCAGAGTGAACAACACACACACACACACACACACACTCTCTCTCTCTCTCTCGCTTTGGGGGACGAGAAGTGGGGAAGGGAAATAGCAAATTTTAGACCAGGTTCTGTCATTTTTAAAATCACCCTGTGTGCACCAAACTCCTGTTCCATTACAGGTGTAGAACAGTTTCTGACCACTTATATTGGTAATTTCTATACCTGGCCTAGGGGTTAAACTGCAGCCCCTGGGCTCCCACTGCTCTGGTTGCAGCTGGGATCTCTGTGCTCCCTCTCCCCCCAGCTTCCTCTTCCTCATCCCAGGGGACAGAAGAGTGTAGTGCAACAGCAGCAATAACGGTGTCAACGAGGGCAGCACCCCCAGGTGCCACCTTTGTAGAAGGGCATAAAAATAGCTATGACCATACTAGCCGCTAACTGCTGCTGCATGTGGTACTATGACAGCTGGTGCTGCCCCAGGCATGAAGCTCTGCCGCTACGCCTCTGGGTGGGGGAGCCTGGGATGCTCCGATTTGCAGTGCAGTGGCGGAATGGCATGTGATGTACAGCCACAGGAGACCATCACCACTGCTAGTGTGGCCAAGCTATGACAGAGCTGTCAACTGCACACCCTAGTACCTGTGCCACCCCAGCCCCCACTTAGGAGCCCTGACTTAGCAAATTAATGCTTAGCATCAAGAACTTTTTTCGGGAAAGAGATTAAAAAGCTAAGCAAACCCCTGTCTGTCAAACTTCTGTCCACTTCCTGACCGGAGGACTGCTCTCAGACCTGACCACAACGATCTAAACTTTTAGAAAATCAAGATTTGATTATTGCCATTCATATTTAGGGGAAAAAAAAAATCCCAAAACCCAGAAACACTCCTTACACCAAGTACAAAATAAAGCAATCCAACATGGATCATGAGCAAATCACTGTGGCATTCTATTCTATTGGGGAGCCACTTACAATACATGTAAAAAGTGCATTTGCTATTTAAACCAAAGAGGCTTTGAACTATGCATACTTAATCTACCTGCAAAGTTAGACACCTTAATTCAGTAAAGTCAGAACACTTCACTGTAATTTTAAATACTTCCTACAAACAGGGTATATTATCTCCAGTAATACACTATTTAAACTGTGATCAGCTGGCCTCAGAAGCCTTTTAATAGAACAGAGAAAAAAAAATCTAAATCTATTTCCATTTTGATGGCTTTAAACTTTAGAATCCAGAACGCCATCAAGTGATCAAATTAAGTAACTACAGCAAATTACCAAAAATATCTTATTGTCCTAATGGTTGACAAAGAATGGTAAATATTTTCAATCTGGCAAAAAAAAAAAAAAGATTGCTAGGAGTTCCATTAATTTATGTAAATTACATTCCTTTGAGGAAAAATAGCTAATCATTTTTAGAACTTCTTTCCTAAGAGGGCTTCTGTGTTCAACAGTAACCTTTTCCTGATTATTATTCAGCATGCTAACATACCACTTTCCCCAAGGGTAACATATGAATTGCACAATACAGGCGCTGTATGCAAAACAAATTAATAAACCTGCAAACATAAAAGATAGCTGTTTCAACAAAAATGTTAATATTCACAGTACATGCTTTTTAAGGAAGTGGTATGCAGTGTTTCGATTAATGCCGGCCTACAGAGATTATTGTTGTTCCAGAGAGGATACCATCAATTCTGGTCTAGGTCATCTACTCACGTTCCAAAATCAATATATAGTACATAAATGATTCTTAATGTAAAAAGATTTAGCAAAGATAGAACATGCTAGAAAGTTCTTTGATAAGACAACTGTTCTATAAAAGAGGAAAGCTGATCTCCAAAATAGTACTGATGAAGGAACTAAAAAATTCCCATCGTCACTAAATGGTTTTGAGAAGGAAGATGTGTATAAAGGGTCAGGAAGGCACAAATGACTTGCCTTCTTTCCACAAAGCCTTTAGGCATATGAAAGTTCTTTACTTGTACACTACCATTAACAAAGCACTGATTTCTATAGCAGACAACAGAACTGTTATATACATACTTCTGAAAATTGACAGGTTAACTAGACTTACTTGTTATGCTGTCAGCTACATTAGCATCGATCTCTATTATGATTCCCACTTAATTTTCAGGATTCTGTTTTAAGAAGTCATATACTGGAAGTTTGCAAAAACTTCTAGATGTCAATACAAGGATTACAAGTGACATTGTGTAGTCCTCAGTAATGCTGTTCTTCTCAACTCATGGCTAAATGTTACAGTCAACCTTGCAGTTAGTGTCTATATTCAATCACAGACTCCTCTTCACCAACATCTACGAGCATATCTAAGGGCACATGAGGTTTGTCATAGCCAGAAAACTTTATTTGGCTCATTGAGTTTTGAGTATCAGTGGTGAGAGGCTTGGAGTTTGAAGAGAGCTCCTCCTCATGCAATTCCATTTGACTACTATTAGAAGTAAAATAGTTATCTTTTACATCGGAACTCTGTTCAGTATTCGGAGATAACTGCGAAGTGCTTTCTTGAATGCCCCCCTCTTCTGTTGTGCTTGATGTTTCCTGGGAATTGAGAGAGCATGCTTCTTCACAGCTGTCTTCAGGGCTAGGAGTCCCAGTTACTTGTTCTTCTTCTATCACAGTTACCTTATCACATACCAGCATCTTGGCTGATGATGAGGTTATGACAGAGATATACTTTGTTTCTTGTTCTAAAGTGTGGCGTGAGTTCAGGTTTCTTACCACAGCGACCTTAAAAGGTAAGGACAAATATTTTTATTTGTATATAAATTAGCAGTTTACTACTTTTAGTCTCTAACAGTCAAAGAGAGTCGGAAACAAATACAAAGTCATGATATACATTTTAAAATTCCAGGACAGCAGAATTCAAGTCAGAGTTTGCAAACAGAGTCCAGTAGAGGTTATGTCACCTATGGCCTTGACACTGACTGGCTATGAGCCTTTTATGTGAGATAAAAAAAAAAAAA